AGGTAACCCTATAAGATATTATTTTTTTCCTTCTCACCACTCTCTGAGGTTAAATTCTAGCACAGAATACATAATTCATTACTGGTTGATAGTATTTAGACCAAACATATCTGTGTCAGGTGTTTTACAACTGGAGGGAAAATATCACTTAGAGGTACTTTTACTGTTCTTGGGGTTTGCCTTTATAAAATTAGATTCCTGTGTATGTTTTGACACAAACATAGTGGACTGTAAGGTTCTTTCTACAAAATAAAATGGGGAATTACTTTGCAATCAATAGGTTGGAACAATTTTACAATTTCTTTGCTAGCTGCTGTAGTCTGGTGTCCTTACTCTTTTTTTTTTTTTTTTTTTTAAACTTAAGTGCACCTCCACTCACTTTGCCTTCAGTATTATTGCTAAGGCTTAATTGAAAGGGCAATATGAAATGGATTAACAGAGGCTACAATATTGTCTTGTTTTACACCTCTTTGTTGTGTTCCTTTTACCATTGTTGTTGTTTTTTTTGTTTTTTTTTTTTGCTAGTAAACCAGTCTGCAGCTGGTTTTCCTTTTATTATTTCATGGCAGAGAGAATAGGGTAGAGAAGCAACAGTCCAGGGGGGATTTATTGTTATGTGTAATGCTGCAATTTACTGTACTTCTCCCTCTTGACACTCCTGTACAAGCAGCAGATTGCCTTACTGCTGTTCTTTTTGGATCTTGAAGGAAAGAAAATCTGATGCCAGGGATGTTGGTTTCCTTTTCATACTGTTCATCAGTAGGGAATATGAACATTTACTTCCCTCCTCCATTTCCACAGATCATAAGCAAAGATTTTTTTTCCCACAGACATTTCTTGTTCAATCCATGTTACCCTTTATGGCACTCAGCCCTACAGGATGTTTTTTGAACTTTGATTTCCTCTGCAGTATGATGCCTCTGCTATAGTTAATACCATCACTATTGTCAGATTTACTTGACGATTATTTCATCTCCTTTCTGTTTCTCCTCCCAGCTCATTTTGCTATAGCTGGGTGAATGTAAAAGCTTTCTTTATGAAATAAGAGCATTTCTGAAACACTTAGTATGGACTGTGATTTCTCAGTTATTTATCTGGTTCATGGTGATATACCACAAAAAAAACCCCCAAAAAACAAACAAACAAAAAAACCCCCGCAAAAAACCAAAGCAGGCCTCTCTCTTGCTGTTGCTCTTGCCCTCATTCTTCTCAGTGATGAGGAAAACAAGTGCCACATTGCTGGGTACAGATGTAGTTGCTCATTTACCTTTGTTTGCTCTGAACTAACCCAAGCAAAGACATCTGAGGTTGTATTAGGTCTTTCAGGCTGATGCCAACCAGATTTCTCATCTGGCTGAGAAACCTGTGGAAGGGGGCAGGGGTAGAGGGCAGAGACCCTTATGGCATGTGTAGAAGGCGTGCACACATTGCAGCTGTGAGTACCTGTTGTGTCTGTAGAAAGTGAAAAAGATTGTCAGGAATATATGATGATGCCATTTCTGCAGCACTGTGGTCTAAATAAATAAATGTGATAGAAACAGATGGACTTCTCTTATTGGATAAACTAGTTAGTTAAAAAAAAAAAAAAAAAAAGCGAAGCATTGGAGCATATGAGCTATTTGCCATGTTTCTTTTTTCAAGGAGAAATAGCCATTGCCATTACTAGTAGATACTTTTCTGTGAAATTATTGAAATTAAGGAATGTGTCCATATGTAGCTTTTTCATGACCACATTTGATAGACAGCATCATGAAATTTGTTGAAGACTTTATCTGGATGACTAACTTGTAAGCTGGATCAGGGGACCATTTTTCATTTTCTCTACTAGAATGTTTCATCTGCTTAGAAAGTTTTATTTAATGTTCCTGCCCTCCTATAAAGACTTCCCAATTGTTTCAGCTTACTTTCAGTTCTTAGTTTGAGTACTTTCTTCCCCCCCACACCCTGCCCCATACTAATTTGACAGTATTTCTTGCATATATTGGGGATTTTGGGTAGTGTAGGGATGTGACAATTAAGAATGTCTACTTTGAAACTTCTTTTGAGCTTTCCCCTAGTACTTCAGGTAATAATTAACAGAGATGTGACCAAAATTTATATTTCATTATTATAAGCATTCAACTAATTGCTTATTTACTAATGGATTGTGATTAGTACACAGCATTAACAGGCAACACTGAGTACTAGGAAATATTTCAGCACAAAAAATATAACTAGATAAAAAAAAATGAGGCACATAAAAATAAAATTAAAAATAATTAAAAAAAAAAATATGAGAGTCATGGATATTCTTCACAAAACCAGTAATAGAGAAAATGCTATGGTTCTGTCCCCCAGCGTATTCCATAGGGAATTCCTCTGGGGCATGGGAGGTTCCTGCTCCTTTCACTAATTCAGAAAATGCACTTGAATCAGCATCATCTACAGGATGCCTTTTGCTTCTACTGGCATAGCATATTTTCACATCTTGTTCCAGATTTTTTTGTTTAGGAGAGAGGGGAAAGTCTGACCATAAAACTGATGGTAATAACCCTCCTGAGAACCTGAGGAATGTTACTCCTTGAATTAATGCTTAATAACTTTCTGCTGGTAGTCTTTTGAAGTGACTACTCCATGTAATGTACCCACATAAAGATATATCATAAAATAATAGCAAGGCATAAAAGTGGCAAAATGGCAGTTCAAATCCTTAGGTAAACTTCTAAAGTATGCTTCAAAATTCTAAAAATACCAAATTTTAAGATGAGGCTTTTTTATTTTTAAATCTATTTTTATTGAAAACTTTTTTTTGTCCTAATTGTACTAAGAAAAACTAAAATGTTTGTATTTTTGGTGAGTTGGAAACTTTAAATACCAGCCAGGTCTATATATGAATACAAGAATAATCTAAAGCAAAAGTGAACAATGAGTGCACTTAAAGCAGCATGTACAAAGAGTTCATCAAAGAATTATGAGGGAAGTTTATTTGCATAAGTCAATCATGTATATACATGCATAATTGGCAATCATGGCATTTGTCTAGTGGTGACAGTTTAATTCTAAGTAAAATTTTATTTGTCTTTCCAGAAATCTCAGATATTAAGTAAATTAGTAAAAAAAATTATATATCTTTCCCATTTAATTTATATGTGTTTTGGTTATTCCTATCTTAAGGAAAACAGTTCTATTAATGAAAAGAAAATATTTCTCTGCCAGTGAACATACTCCTAGATATTACAGCTTGCTATTTCAAAATGACCACGGTTTGTGTCACATGAGATACATGATCGCATGTAATTTATTGTTTTTCAGATTTGGTATTTGGCTTCTTATAACCTTACAGCAGTTCCTGGACCACTATTTAGAGAGTTGTAGGGCAAATTCAATGCAAAGTAAAATTTGTTCATCTGTAACAACTGCTAAAATTGTTTCATGAGATTAAAACTAAAGCAGATTATAATTTAATAGATAACAAAGTTATCTCAAATTTACACAGTGGAATAAAGTATGATGGTTAGAATGGTTTATCCTGTTTGAATACTATTTTGTTTACATATGTGATTACTGCATATTAATAGGATTTTCATTCAAGTAGACTAACTGAACACTTTCCAAACAACAAACTGAGTGTAAGTAAATTTTTAAATTGCTATTGTCATTTTACCTTGGTGTCCTGAAAGTAGATCAATGATGGTCCAGCAGCCAACATAAAATGTCAAGATAATATAATTAACTAGTACAAATAAAGCAATTTTGGAACTGAGTTATTTGATGTAATGAATTTTTAGAGTAAAATAATTTTATTCAATGATCCACAGAGGGACAGGTGGTCTTGATCTGGGTTCATTTTATGGCTGATTGGGGAGAGAATGTTGTTAAAGCCGTTAAGCAAAGTAATGGTCCTTGAATTTGCTGGAAGATTTCTGTATAAATATATTTTTAAAATAATAATACAAAAGTGCTAATGAATGCAAGCTTGGTTTCCTCTCAGTTCTCAGTAGGAATATTTCATGTATACATTGATATACACCCTACCATCTGAATGGCAACAAGCACCTTTTAGGACCAATATTGCTGTATGATGCTCTTTGAGATCCATAACCTATTTAAAATTACAATTACAGTTAAATACTTTGTTCCTATACTGCCTAATATAAATTTAACTGATAAAACTGCACCTAATCAAGAAAGTTAATGACAGGTTGGACTACTTTGGTTTGGTTTTGCGTGTTATAGGTCAAAATAAAATAATTTTGGTTTTGCTTGGTTTTGTCTTTTTTTTTTTAAATTTGAGATTATTAAATTTGTATGAAACCATGGTTTAGCCTATGCTGGAAAAGGTTACTGTGACTATCTCTTATAGTGAGGCAATGCCAACAAGTCCTGCTAGTGAACCCACTTTTTTCCTGAAATCATTTATTTGCAACATAAATCGTATTCCTGAGATCATATTCCAATTGCAATGTGAGTTCTGGACTCTTGATTATTTTCTTTATAACTATATTTGTATCAGGGGCTTCAGCAGCACACACATTACTTCAGCAGAACTTGTTTCTAATGTAGACCTAACCAGACGTTCCAGTACAGTGGATTTGTGATTTATTGATGTTGCTTCCTGACTGCAGCATGGCCTATTTTGCAAATGAAATAGACTTTGATTAAGTTCAAATGCTGTGTAAATTTAGCTAAGACTTATACGTACTTTTTAGGAGTAGTGTTGTTGCAATCTGTACTTGAATAGTCATTATGTCAAACAAGCTGTTTTTGTATAGTGTCTTGCTCTTAATGCAGACATTTACTTCTCTATGTGATGTTGCATTCTGGAATCCCTTGACATGAACGAATACTAATCTTTTGCAATTTTTTCATAACTACCCTCTCTTATCTACCAGGAAAATTATTGTGTTTTTCTTTTCCTAGTTGCTTTTGTAATTTTAAAAATAATCTTTGTTTTATAAATTCTTTAGATAGAGTCCTTATTAAAAGATAATTAATAAATAGTGTCACTTCTCTGTTAACAGCGCTTATCAAATGGTTCCATAGACTCAAATGATGAAGCCAGTCAAGTTGTTGAACTTCAGGAACTACTGGAAAAGCAAAACTATGAAATGGCACAAATGAAGGAGCGTTTAGCTGCACTGTCTTCCCGTGTGGGAGAGGTAGAGCAGGAAGCAGAGACTGCCAGAAAGGAGCTCATTAAAACAGAAGAAATGAACAGTAAATATCAGAGAGACATTAGAGAGGTAAGGAGTTCACCACACTCACCTCATATTTCTCTCTTGTTCCTGTGGTACCCACTACAAGCTGATGGAGGCCAGTGAACATGGGCAGCAATAGTTGAGCACTGTTACCAGCCCTCATACATAGGAAACACAAAATTTACTTTAAGAAGTAGTGTTAGAAATCTCTTTATAAAACCGTTTTCATAAATGTGGGTGTGTATGTGTGCAACTTAATAGGAGGAAGGCCAAATCCTTTGTGGTTTAGCATTACTAGAGTGCATTCTGGCAAGTTTCCAGCTATTTCAAAATTCTAAGATAAACTCTGTTAAACAGAGATGTTGGTCTTGTAGGCAGTCTAAAGAACACCTTTAAAACTCCTGGGCTGTTTTATGAAAAGGTTTTATTTATATAATCAGTTATAGTATTTACTCATGTGTGGTAATTTCACTACCCCTGTTATAATATGCTATTCCCTTACTTGCTTTCAGCCCTTCCCTTCCTAAGCAAAGTGGCCATTAATACCTTTGCACGTAGAATAATTAGCAAATGTCAGTGCAGAATCTGCTGCGAAAGATATTTGTAAAGATGGAAGTGCCTGTCTTCATTATTTCATATTGCCACAAAAGAGTCTTCCCAATGCAGAAAATTAAATACCTGCAACAAGAAGAGTAGTTTAGTATTGTGTAACTTGGATAAATTATTGGGTTTTTTCCTGTGTTTTTTTAATTAATTACATACATAATTACCATTTTTATGGGGTTTTTTTCAGCAATTTGCAAAAGGATCACCTGGATATGGTCCATTTTAGGACTAGCTATTTGGATCCATTTATATGTTCATTGTGTCTTACTTGAAAAATAATCTCACTTCAACACTGGTTCCACAATGTAATATAATACAAAAAGCAAGACGTGATCGTCAGTAAATGTTTTCATTGTGAAAGATTACGTGGCAATATGTAAGTCATCTCAAGAGCCACACATAAGTTTAAAACTGATAAAATTTTCTACTTTCACTAAAATTAATTGAAGAGAAATAAACAATGTAATAGACCTAACTAGTGAATAATCTCTCTAAATTACAGCTATTGACTTCAGTGAGGCCAGCTTGTAATACATGAATAAAAACAGCTCAAGATTTTAAAGAAATCCTTATCCATAACATATATGGATAACATACCCATATGTTATGGTTATGTTATGTACCCAACATTGTGATCGCTTGTTTTCCTGATTTCAGGACATGTCACGGGCTGTCTGCTACATGTACTTGGCAGAAAATCTTAGTAGAACCCAGGAATAAGAGTAGAAATGTGCATATATATATTTTTTCCCCACATCACTGCACTGTGTTTCTACTATTATGTAACTATATCAGTTTTTCTATTTTCTGATCAAGCCTGCTGTTGTGTAAGAAGCAAGCAAGTAATTGTCAGCTGCATTTGCTATGGATTTTTGCATTGAAAAATATAGAAACTAGAAAAATATACAAAAGGTGAGGATTGTTTCCATTTGTTCTATTCAACAGCTACTGCTTTAAATATTGTAATTACAAGAAATCTCAAAGGAAATAAATTTTCTTGAAAACAGAAAAATTACTGCGGAGTGTACCTTGCATCTCTGTCTACTGTTAGCACGAAAATTAAAGTGGTATAAAATTATGTAGCATTTTAATTGCATGTCTCTTGATAAGTTTTTTTGTCATGTTAGGCAATGGCACAAAAGGAAGATATGGAAGAAAGAATAACTACACTGGAGAAGCGCTACCTCAGTGCACAGAGAGAATCCACCTCCATACACGACATGAACGATAAGCTGGAAAATGAACTGGCAAACAAGGAAGCCATCCTACGTCAGGTGTGGTATCTGCATTACTCAGTTATTTTCTTCATACACAGTTAGAATTAATGCAAAAAAGGGGGCAGATCTACAGTAGGAGGTTTCCATTAGGTTAATCTGTTCATTTTTAATCAACAGGTCAGTTAATCTAAAAAAACCCTGCCTAAGTTGTTCAGCATCTCTAAGCTTCATATCAGCTATTACAACCATGAATACCAAATCAATGTGTACATTCAACATTGGAAATTAACTGTGTTTTCCGATAGTGTCTTGCCTAAATGCACATACTCATATACTCTAAGTAAAGGATTATCTTTGCTCCTTATGTAACAATTTTCTGAATTTTATTAAAAAAAAAAATAGTATAATCAAAAGAAATTCCCTTCTGCAGGAAAGATCAAAATTTGCATACAGTATCGTCTAATGATTTCACATTGTTAGTAGTGTGTAAATAAAATTTTGCAAAGCTAAACTATCCATGAATATGTTTTTAAAAAAAGTATAACATGATTGTGCAGCTTTCTCTCATGGTACTTCATTTACACGGTGATTCCAAAAGCTGAAGTGTAAAGTTAGCAGAAAACACAGCTTGGTAATTTGAAGAATACAATGTGAACTGAAAGCTAACATAAAATAATGTAATTCAAACTGTAAAAGATGAAATTGCTCCTCAGCCTCAGTATAAGACCTTTTTTTTTCACCTATCATGTCTTCAAACAATATAAAATGCTATATGGGAAATAATCCTATATAGTCTGATAATCTCTGCTTCTATGGTTGTATGCAGATATATTTACACAAATATATGCACATACCTCTGTATGTGTGTATATGTATGTATGTGACTACCTCTTCAGGGAAATTAAGGCATCAGAACTCAAACTCTCCAGCTTCTGCCAGCTTCTTTTGACTATTTTAAGAGGTATCTTCAATTGTTAGGAAAAAACCCCACCCAAGAGTGGAAAAGTAGGGTACCTGCATCTGAGTTTTTATTGCTGCCAGTGTAAGTCGTGTTGCAGAGGTCTACCTACTCAAAGCAGTGACCAAGAGAATTAGGCTTACAATATATACAGGCAGACTTAAAGTTGATTTAAAGCACTGTGATGTGAAAAGCCTACCTTTTCATGCTTTCGAAGGATTAAAAAAGAATCTAAAAGCACACTCCTTTTTCATTATGTCTTCTGTTACCTGGAATGAACAAAAAAGCGGGAAAGACTTATCAAACCATTAAAAAATTCTTAATCATGTGGTCTATCTCAGTAGGCCAGAAAATACTGTAGTTATCAAATGTCCTTTTGTTTCTCTTTAATTATTATCACAGATTAATCAATTTCACCTCTGTAAAATGAGACTCAGTTGTGGGTTCACAGTGAACAATATCACTGCAACCTTCAGCGAACAGCAGCCAGGTTATGATCAAGAACGAAATGTCAGTTTTAACATTTCATAATATATGACTGGCATTTGTTCAGACAATTGCATTTGGCAATTTGTTCAAAAACTTTGCCGGGAATTCTATTATTTTGGAATTTTACTTCTTTCCCATTTTAGCTCATACATAAACTTTTCTGTGAGATGAAGTCAATATTTGCTTTTAGTACGTTCTCATTTTACTGGCACCAATACTTTTATTGTGCTCAGATAAACAACACATTGATCAGAGGAGCTTTTTGTTCATCTTCGTTAGTGCCATTTTACAACTCCTTTTCTTCACCTTCATATGATCTGTGAGCCTCAAATCATTCGTCGTTAGTAAGACTGGCAGCCTACACTGATCCATGCTTGAGTTAATACCTTTCCAATAAGCTCACCCAGGTTGTGGAGTATCTGTGTTTATACAGTGAGGTTTGATCGCTTCCCCAATACCTAAGAAACTGGAGGAAAATCTTAATTTTGGTTATTTTTTTCATACCTGTTTATCTGTCTTTGGCCCTCAGTTGGAAGACAAAAACAGACAACTGCAAGAACGACTAGAGCTGGCTGAGCAGAAGCTGCAGCAGACGATAAGGAAGGCTGAAACCTTACCTGAAGTGGAGGCTGAACTGGCTCAGAGAATTGCAGCTCTGACTAAGGTACTGCCCTGAGAAATAGATTCACTGCAGAAGCCTCATTGTTTAACATTGATTTGCATCCTGATTCCTCATCTCAAGGACAAAACTAGTATCAAGCTGATTTGAAAGAAGAAAACGTTTCCTGATAAGTATGTGCCACAGGTTTAACCAGGAATGGTCTCAATCCCATGTTTGTAATTTTTAGCATTTTGGCAACAGGAAAAGTAGTTATGTTTAAGTTAGCCTGCACTATATTTACAGAAGAGTCATCTATTTCCAATGCATATGAGCATTACTTGTCCTAGGAGGATTCATTTTACTGTGTAAGTTTCTAATTTAAGGGGAAAGGGGTAGGGGGAACTCCCATTCCTTCACTTAGTTCTTCTGGATGTTTTCGTACACCATGGGTATATGAAACAACAATTATTTTTATTCCAATAAGTGCTACAAAATCAAGTCTTAGTGGCAGCTGGGATCATTTGTACAACATAAATGAAGACAAGTTGCAGTACATACTTACAAGGTTTGTTTTGAATGATTCTTTGCATCATGTGTCTGCAAAGACAAATGTGAAACCCTAAGAGGACTTCAAACTGTTTTTTTTCTGATAAATTATTATACAGCAGCTTTCTTGCAGAAAAATAAGATAAAAATAAATTTTTAGAAATAGCGTGGTTTTCCTGTTTGGCCTCTGATACTTTCAGCTGTGCATGTAGTTAATCCTATAGCTCAGGTATTATCAGCTTCATAAAGACATACAAAGATGATATGTTTATTCTTCATCTCTTAAAATCAGACAAATAAAGAAAAATGCATTTAAGAGATTACATTTATATAAGCTTTCCTTTCTCTATTGCCAAGGAAGCTTTCTAGCTATTTATATGCCCAGCTATTTTTAAATTTGTTGGATTTTTTTCAATTCTTATGTTTTTCTATTTATAGGGAAGCCTTCAGTGCTGAGCAGCTTGCTGATAAAGTCTGATTTTTAAGTAATTTAGTTAAGAAGTAGAAAGAAAGCAAGAGGGGCTTTTTGAGAATTTGGGTTGGTTTGGGTTTTTTTATTATATGAAGGCGAGATCATTATTCAGGGATCAAGATTTTGTGCTGTCCACTTTAGGTTTATATGAATGGGTGGAAATCTGAAACAGAGACTGAAAATGGTGGGGGGAAAAAAAGAATCAGCAAAAAGAGAGCTATGTGAAATACCAAAGAAATATCATTGCATTTTAATAAAAAATCAGGTGCACATTAGAACAATCCCTTGGCATTTTAACTTTTTTCATTTGTTTCTGATTCAACAAATAATCACATATTCTAATGCCCACAGTAGCTTAATTTTTTTTTCTATTTTAAGAGGATTTTTTCCTGAATAATTTCTCCAGCAATTAGGCACCAGTAAGTATTTTGTAGTCTCAAGCATGTCTTTTCTTGCAATTGCATTTTTCCTTGAACATATATTAATGACAAATATTGTAAGCAGAAATCCCATTTCAACCATGCAGAGCCCTCAGGGACTTCCATGAGATACTGTTGTTGTTGTGACCATAAAGCTGCAGTATACATCTCTGTTTGTCTTCTTACATTATTTCATGGGATGTGGTTAGAGAGCTGTGAACAGAGCTGACACTCCACCCCATTGTGCTTTGATGTACTTTTGTCAAAGTTTTTGCCAAGCGGGAGTCTCTAAGAAGTACATTAGACTGTAATGGCAGTTCTGTTAATTTCTCTTCAATTACATGAAAAACTGAAGAAAATTCTTTTATTTAAAATTGTGTCTTCTTGGAATACATGACATGAAGAAGAATGCCAGAATTTGACCAATAGGCTGAATAAACCTGTGTTTTATATATCTTGTATACAATGTCTTTGCAAACTGTAGAGCTTATTGAAGTAATGGTTTGACAGCTCTGAAGTTTAAAGTCCAGTACTTTTCACGGATAACATAAATTAAGCTCAGAACCAAGGACAATGCTGTAGTCACTGCAGCTTACTTAGCTAGCTGGTATACCATTACCACACTAGCTATTTGATGAAAGCTACGAGACCTTCCTAAGGGGCTGAATAATACTTAATTAATTTTGCCTTTGTTGAGCTTTGTGTCAGCATACACATTGCTGGTAGGGCTCAAATGAGCTAACTGCAGACTACCTTAAGTCTGCCTACCTACCTGAGCCCTGGTCACTGCATGTCCATGTATACTAAGTAAAAGATGAGCCCCCTAAATCAGGTAGTCTTTCTGCACTGCAAAAAAAGTCAAAACTGATTCTCCTTTCTTTTGTACTACCTCAATGAAAGTGGCTCCTCTGAGGTTAATGGGGTTACAAAAGAGGTGAGTTAAGCCTAATATGTTTTACGTGTTTTTTAAAGGAAAGTAGTGTGGGATAATTGGAAACCATGACTGCTTCACTGTGGGTGAAATGTAAGACAAATTATTTACATGTGGAGATAAAACAGAACATACATGTTCTGGATTTGGATGTGATTTCCCCCTCCTCAGTTTAAAATATGCATGTTACAATTCTGCATTCAATTTATTATACTCTTCCTCATAGTAAATCTGGGTTGGTATTCTGCACAAGAAGGATGTCAAATGAGATCCTTCTATGGTGTCAGTTTTTTAAATGGGTTGTTTTTCTTTTTGTATATATATGGGCTAGTGAATGTCTTTTGCTACTTTTCTATGCCCAAACTAGTTCATAAGGAGTGAACTTCCAAAAGTTTGGACTATACAGTGAACTCAGATAAGTACCCATAAATTTACCTGAATCGTTTGAACTTTTCTTTGGCTTTGTTTTCACTGTGTTCTGCCCATTGGGTGAGCAACTGGAGGGTTAGTCAGCCTGTGGCAGACTAACCTGGAACAGCATGATCCCATGTACTGCCTGGCCATTGCACTGGTATCTGTCTGGTCATGACAAGTAGCACAGCTCTCAGCATGTATCCCAAGTTTATATTTATAAATTTTTGCCATGACTCATTGAGCCACCTTGTACTCACTCTCACAGTATTGGTCTGTTTGCCTGCCCTGGAGAAGAGGCAGTTGGTAGTAGAAGGCACCCCCCTCCAATATTAACTAAACCTTTCTTTATCCTGTAAGATGTTTGTTTTCCTCAGAAAGGACAGACATTGGAGCATCCAGAACTCTCAGATGGTTAGTCTTTCAAACACAATTTCTCCTTACATGTATTCAAGGAGGAGTCTAGTGGAGACAACCAGCATCCACCTACTTCCATTCACTCACTCCCTCTAGCAGTCACTCTCCCCCTCAGGTGCCTATGCAGCAGAGGTACCATGTCACTTCTCTGATCACAAGACAGCAGTCAGCATTTTATGCCGTCATTTCTGTATGCAGGTCACCAGAAATACCAATAATGCTTTTTAGCTGCATAAGAGAATGGAGAAGAGGAAACCATAATCATAATAAACCACATTTAGCATAGTAACACTTTCAGCTTATTTTAAAGGTGATAAAAATGACTTGAAAGTTCGAGGCAAGTAGAACACAATGCTTGTTTTGTGACAGTGGTGAGTTCTGGTTTGCATTAAGTAGGGAAGTTGCAAGAAAGGGAAAGGAGAAGTTCTGCAGTAGAAAGGATGCAAAGGGGGGGAAGGATGTTCTCCTGCAAGAAGTGGATGTGGTTAAGACAGCAACCTCTTTGAGAACAAGGGAGGGAGAGAAGATGATGTGTTAGCTGGAGAAGGAAGCTAATAAATCTTCTCCCAGAAAAAAACAAAAAACCAACACCTCCTTTAAGGAGGGAAGCCTAAGAAAAGTTTACAAAACATTACTGTCTTCTCAAACCACCCTTCTTGTGCTTCCCTTCCCACAGAAGATTTTGTCCTGATAGGAGGAAGAAATGAAAGAAGCTAGGTTGAGACCTCTAAATGGAAGGAGTTGCCTACTAAACCTATGAGGTGTAGAAGGTAGTGGGGAAATAAAGGAGAGACAAGAATGTGTGGATATCTAGTGACTGAAAGGTTGGGTTTCAGAAAAAAGAGTGACTTAAGCTTACATATTTTGTCACATTTGTAACAGGTTAGGAGTGAGCACATGAACAAGTAGCTGATAACTTTGTGAGCTGTTGTAACTCAGTCACCACAGTCACCTATGTTCACCTTCAGTTGCATAGCTCGATTCAGTAATGCATTCTTTCTTCTTGAATAATTCATTCAAAGGCTAGCCAAACAAATTTGTGCTATAAGAAGCCAGGAGAAAATCTGGAGACAGCAGGTGTTCAAAACTCAAGGTGTCAAAACTGTGGAAATTGACTTGTACCATTAGCGAAGTTTAGATTTGTTCCTGCAGCTCAGCACAAGGAAGAAAAATTATAGCACCTGTACTGTACAGGTGCTTTCTGCATCTGAAATTGTATTTTTTTATTTCATCTGAGATGCAAAGACTAGAAATTGTGTGATGATGTGAAAGCGACTTTTTTTTTTGTGGGTGAATTAGCAGCAGGAGCAGCAGCAGAATTTTAACAGGGTTAGAGAGCAATAATACAAGCTTCTTTGGTATTCCCTCAAAGCAAAATTTTCCTGTTTATTGCTGGCTTATACTGGCTATTTCTCTGCTATTTCATAGCATATAGAGTGCAAAGTGAGCATTAAGACTCAAGCCGGTATCTCATGGCGAGTCAGACATTGTTAGTTTTTGTCCATATATTTTTAATCCAGTCTGAGATGCACAATTTCACAAATCTATTTATAACTGAATGTGCTGGCTAAATGCTTTAGGTGATAGTTGCTGAATACCACACCATGTGTCTTACTAATCCTCCTGTACAGAGTACTAGAGAACAGGCATGCAAGTCATATTAAAAAGAAGAATGTAAGGTAAGGTCTGCCAAGCAAATAGTCATACAAGCTCCACTTTAGAAAGTTTATAACTCAATTAACTCTTAGCAAAGCAAGTCGGAAGAAATCTAGCTTCTGTTTAAGAACCTCAGAGTCCACAGCTGTCCCTTCTGTCTCATGCGTATCTGAAATTCTGTTTTGGGAACATGACTAATGCTGGTGGCTCGGCCTCTGCCTCATGCCTCAATCCACGAGGCAGAGACGGAGACATTCAGTGTTTTTACGGTAACCACCCAAGTCTCCCAAAGAGCCTATTCTGGTGAGAAGGTCTGGGGCTGACTAACACATGCGGACAACAAAAAGGCATAGCCACCACAGGCACGTCAATCCTGACAATATGGCCTAGAGAAGTCTGTGCGGGAGGCATTTGCAAATCCCTTAGGGAACAGCTAAACTGCTAGATCTTTTTGTCTGAAAGGGTCTGTTTGAAACTCGGATTGAGGCCTTCCTCATCATAAAGGGCAATGAGAGGTGTTGAAACCCTCCTTTGAGGAGTGTGTTCCGACTAGGCACACTAGGAGATGGAGGGGCTGCTCTTCCCTGCTGCAGCTCTCTGTCTGCAGGTGGGTTTCTGCAAGTGAGAGAAAGAGGGAATATGAACCTGTGTTTCTGTCTCCCTAGCCCTTACAGGGGACACCCTTTTGATTCATGTCCCTGCTGCAGGGGCTGCCCATGCATTTGGCACCTAAGAACCAGTGGTTAAAATCCCTAAATAGCATTAGAGCCCAGGTAAGGTACTATAGGCTGTGCACCTGTGCTTGTTCTCTGCCAGGCAAGCAGTTGAGCCTAGTTGTTTAATGTCTCGGTTATAAAATAATTTCATTATTTTAGAGTAATACGGAATAATACTTTAGGAACAAACAAATGAAATGCATGTAAATAAAGGAAACAAAATATTCAGATACATTTTAAGTGTTTTGAATAATGGCATCTATTTTGATTCTAAGGCATATTGAATTTTAATTAATTTTGAAGTCACTTTTTCCTACCAAAGAGATGTAAAGGGAGATGGACATGGAGATCAGCTCTGTTTTCTTTTATTCTAAAAAATGAAGTACAGGTACTTTGAGACACATTCAGGAAGATTTTTTTGACAAGTATGTACCTATCAACATTTTAATATTCTTAATAAAATAACTGAAAACTTCACAGAAGAAAGATTTATATATATCTTAAACATATACCTTACTGGATTATTAAAGTGTTAGGAAGTAACAGAATTAGATAGCTATAAGAATTATAAAAAAACATCATGTTCTTTCAATAAAGTTTTCTATGTAAGAATTCAGATAACATACATAATTCTGACAATAATTTAATTCCTCCTGCTCTTCCAAATAATAGTTAGGCCTAATACCACAATTATTTTATCCTCTGGAAATACTGTTTCCTGCTAAGGAGTAAGGTATGGCATGGTTTAGACTGAAAATCTGTTTTTTTAATTTGAAAAATAAATGTAAATTATAGAGCTGGTTAGACTGGCTTCTCAAGGACAGGTCATGACAGACAGCACCACATTTCAGAAGTTGTAAATGAGATCCCCTTGGAACCTAGAAGTATTAGTTTGGTTATCCTCCTATTTTGCATTAACAATTAATTATTATTTGCATTTTGCAAAAAGGGGAAGCAAATCTATCTTCTAGAGAGGAGACTAAAGCTTGGTCACTTCTGATTGTCTGCAATCACAGGGACCTAACTTTTTCAGCCCTATCTTTCTATTTATCCAGTTGGAGAGAAAGCAGTGCGTTAGCACTTGTGTGCTGAAACAAACTGATATGTAAAACTAAAAGATAAGATAAAGAAAATCATAAAGGGATTGTCACTGGTGCAAGTAATAATAAATAGCCAAAATAGTTTCAGATAATGAGTAACTTCAAATACATCACAATACACCTGCTTCCTGATCAGAAATGATAACAGCACTTATTAAATTAGCTTAATTGCAAAGTATACTGACTTTCCCTTAAGTTTTGCAAGAATCTGACTTCTGTGAATACACTTAGTCTGAGAAGAGTAGTAGTGATCTTCAAAGTTAAGCATTCTTCTTGTATTTATACAAGGTGGGATTTTCTTGTATGGATGTCTTCACATCAAAAGCTGCAGTTTATAAATCTCTAGATCACAGGCTTGTTTTCTGTCTGATCTTTTGGTCCTCATAATACTACTGAGTTTAAGTTATGGGAAATTTTAAGTTATGATATAAATCTGGGATTACTTTGGTATCTATTCCTAATTATTCTGATAAATGATTAGTAGACAACAGTATGAAAAACAGTCTCCCTAAAAATATATGGTTGTAAAATTAGTATTTATTGTACATATTGAAGTTTGCTCATCTAGAAATGAAGTTCAGGATCTCTTTTTGAGAGAGGGTAAATCTGACAGTGAAATAGCATTTGACAAGCGTTAAGTTCACAACTCAAAGTCATCTGTAGCACCGTCTATACATCTTATGCACATTCCTGTTTCCATAGGAACAAATCCAATACAGCATTTCCCTTCCTTTAAGTTTTGTTTTGGTTTTTTTTTTACCTTGAATGATAAAATAGGCTTGTTTGATATGACAATAACATGAATACTCATGTTTTGCAACAGATGACCTAATTAAGGTCAACTTCTGTCAAAAGTAGTAATGAATCTTTGGATGGATTACCATTTCTATACTCAGTAACGATTTTTCATTCTTATTAATGGATTTTTATTTATAGGTTCTTCTTTTATCTGATGACCTTGATCTTCCAAAGAGATCCACCAGGGTGGATCCTTTCAAAGGGATGAAAACTATATTGTTTATTTGGATGAAAGGGCTTATGTAGTGTATTCTAAAATAGAATACTAAAGCTTCAGCCTTGTCTCTTTTGACATGATTTCTGTTTTCTAGAAATTAGGGAATGTACCATAACATTGCACAGTTCTGTAACTGACCAATCCATTAATTCAGTATTTATGCATTGTTTTCATTCCTAGACAGTGATAGAAGAATTATAAAGGACTTTCTGACATTGGCCTCGTAGAGTTTTGTTCTGGTGTTTAGTTTGCCATAATTCAAAAAAAAAACCACATTAGAATAGACAGTATTGCTTTGAATCCACTCTGTAGTAATATGTCATCAGCCAACCATTACTAACCTTGAACTTCCATGTGTAGGTTGATAGCTTTTTTAGCATTCCATTATTTTCAGTTTCTCCACATCAACTGCATCATGTTCACCAAGTATCAGTGTAGTTTATTCCATGTAAAAATCTGTCAGTTAAAAGTATTAAATTTTCAGTCACTTTTCTTTTAAGCATTCTGTGCTGTGTTCTGTTCAGTGTCAGTGTCTTTAGTTCTGATTTTTCAATTTTGTCCCTCTCCTTTTCCTTGACTTGTTAGTCTGATCCAACCTCTTCTACCTCATCTGATGATTATCAATATGTTATGGAAGCTAAACTACAAGAAATGATCTCCATACGTAGGAAGGTAGTCCTACTGGACTTTACTTTCTATTGCTAAATAGAATCCATCTGATTTGTTTTCATTTTCTTTAACTTTTTTTTTTTTTTTTATTGATAATCAACCATTGTGCAGTTCAGTGCTTCAGGAGCTTACAATTTTATGATGGCAGGTTTGTGTTCAAACCATGCACAGTCTGCATGTTACATTTGGCTGATTTCATTGCTCATAAATAACTCCAATGTTTTGCTGATGCTTGGATGTAACAGGCCTTTGTAGCTGACACATTTCAAGCAATGCTGTTCAGCTGCCTGTTTAAATAAGGTTTCTTTTTGGAAAACTAAGTTTGCAGTTAGTAGTAGCTTGCTTTATGTTTTGTTTAAACTTTACTGAGATAAAGACTTACAAAGCCACTTCAGTTCGAGAAAGAGTCTTTCTGGTTTTTTTGCAGGCAGAAGAAAGACATGGAAACATTGAAGAACGTATGAGACACTTAGAAGCCCAACTTGAAGAGAAGAATCAGGAACTTCAAAGAGTATGTGTATTTCAGACAACTTCTGTGCACTTTTCTGCTTTTAATTTGTCAATATAGCGCTACGTTGTGCACTCCAGCACACAAACTTATCTGCTGGTAAATGTTTTGTTTATAGCAGTGATGGCAGTATCTTGCCACTTTACTTAACCATTTTAATATACTAGTTCACATCTAGTTGCAGCTTTCAAAGTATTCTGCTGATACAAAAATGAATGTGCATTAATCAAGACCTGTAATTACTTTTCCTATGGAATTTCTTTAAATGGCTACAGTTACAGGGCTTTTTTATTTTTTAATGATACAAGTTTGTACTGGTTAATTTTGACCCTACCAATCTTCTATTCTACATTAAAGGCACGGCAAAGAGAAAAAATGAATGAGGAGCACAACAAAAGATTATCAGATACTGTAGACCGACTTTTGACAGAATCCAATGAGCGTCTGCAGCTACACTTGAAAGAGAGAATGGCAGCACTTGAAGAAAAGGTACAGTGCAAAGGGTGGTGTAAAATACAGCTTAATAAAGATTCTCCGGTGTGAAACCAGTTCTACTTTTATTGGGATGGGGGCATCATGTTGACTTTGTATTACCAGGTGTTACCACAAATATCATCTAACTTATACATTCAACTCTTAATTCAAGAGTGCGCACAAGAATCTTTCCAGAACTACTGCTAACTGGATATGCTAAGTATTATGAGTCCCAGTTTTATCAGCAAGGAGCCCGATGAAAAGCTTGTAAAGGACTAGAGCGCAACATGGTATGAGGCAATGAGAGAAAGTGGACGAGAACAGAGGAATGGCCAAGTTTCCATGTGCTGTCATTCCCATATTTTAGCCTGATGATTTTATCTCAATCCCTATGGGAAGAGTAAAATGCTGTCACCAAAGGAGAAGGAACATCTACCCTTGGAGAGGGAATGATATTTACAGGTTTTCAGTGACACGGGACACAATGGGCCTGCAAAATTCAGATCTCATGACCCCCTTAATCTCTCACTCTTCTATTTATTCACCTTCAATTTGATCTGAGGGGAATCTTTCAGTGTCTTTCAGAAGGACATTTCAGAGCCTTTCAGAGGATGTACTTCTGGTCTGCATCACTGAAACAAAATGTCATACAAAGCAAGAAATAGGCCTACCAAAAGAAGAACCTGGGAGAGATAGATGTGTAAGAGTGTGACAGTTGCTCAGTTCAAGGAAAATGCGAAGTTTTTGCTGGTTTTGATAGAACATGGTCCTACATTTTTAGATTATTTCCAGTGTTTTACATTTAATGTATACTCAAACTGAAGCATTAGAAGATTTTAATTTTAAAGTCCCAGGAATATGAAGGCTTGTTTGTTACTTAACTTTGCTAATTTATACGTGGAGGTTACATGTATATTGTGATATCTGATGTTTAACATATCTCTAATTTCTTTCTGGTTTATCCATTTCTTTTCTTCTTTGTATTTCTAGAATGTTTTGATTCAAGAATCTGAAAGTTTCAGGAAAAATCTGGAAGAATCTTTACATGACAAGGTACTATAAAATACTGTAATTTTATTTTTTTAATATTATTTGGAAGTATGTATATGGCATATTAATTATCCAACTAGCCTGTAAAATCTTCCTGGAATCAATGATAGTTCCTTTAATCACCCAGATGTCTTAACTAGCCTTTAAGGGTCTCTAACAATTGTTCTGAGCTAAGTTCGTGGTTGAGATCCTAGCCTCAGGAAGGCAATACTTAAATTCATATTGATTTTGTTGGCTCTGGAATTTTTGTTCTATCAGTTTAATTCCGAAAAACTTGTTTAACAGAGTTGTATGCATAACTGGTCACACTTTCATAGTGAGGAATGTAATTGCTTGATTTGATGCAATTCTTCTTAACAGGTGCAGTGGCATTATGCTAAATATAGCTGAAAGTGACCTTTCATAATTCATCACAAATTAACCCCTAATACTGTTTAGTGAATCTGTCAAATTAATTACAAATATTTATTCCAATCCCAAATGTTGTGATTTTGTTTTGAAGTTATACTTGCCTTGAGCGCAGTAGAATACACGAATGCATCTGCCTTCAGATTCACGGAAGTGTTTCATAATGTATTGAAACCATGTAAAAGAGATTGTACAGAATTTAAAAAACAGAGCTTCATTTGATACTAATATAACTATGATATGACATATAAAATCAAGAACTTTGAGAAAAATAACAAAAAAAGTATCTGTTCAAATAAATTACTTTAATCTACATTCAGATAACCTTGTAGAAAGGCAGAGAGATTAAACTTTCAAAAAGGAGCTTGTAGGGCATTTTAAATAAATAAAATTTTTGTACTGTACTACCACAGTTATAAGGTGATTCAGCTGTCACAAAATCAGGATCACACTTCACCAGGTTAGATGACAAAAAGGAAATTTCTAAAGCTGTGTCAATTGAAACAAAAGTTTCTATGACTTTGCTACCAGAGAATTTAAACCTGAATTATGGATACCAATTTTGTCTGTATAAATAAGGTATTTTAACAATGTTATCTCCAACATAACTTTATTGTTTTAATAGTGTCAGAGTGAAAGTGAATACAGTGGCTAATTCTTTTTTAGTCTATTTTCTGGCTTGAATGTACATATCAACTCTTGACAAGGATGAAAAATCTGGTATAAAAATCTACATTTGTATCAAAAGTATTTTTGCAATTATTTATTATATTTATTGATACAAGTAGTGTGATCACTAAATTATCTCAGTAACTCTATTCAACCAAGAAATAGTGTAAAAATACTGTAATAATTACTGAATCTGATATTACTTAAGTGCAGATCCTTCTCCTTATTAGAGTTTTGGAATCCTGAACATTTTAAACTCTAGAAACAGCAGTGTTACGTCTACATCCCACATTCTCTCTTAATTTCTTTTAAAAATCTTTGATCTTATTTTATTAGTAGTTACAAATTTGTTATTTGTACAATTCGGTAACACCGCTGTTTTCCCTAGTGATTGCTGCCAATAGTCTTTTTGTTAGTTGATTCCAAAAACCCAATTTTTGTCGCACAGTCATTTTCCACCAGCAGCACCTCATACTGGACTTCCATCAACTCCCAAGAGCAAGCTGTAAAGCTATAGCTCAAAGAAGCACCTAAAATGTCTTTGTCTCTAAGTCTATGTCTCTATTAGTAAATAAATATCTCTATTAGTAAACAAGAAGGCCAGGACAGAATCTGTCTCTGAAGGGCAAATGGCGTGTCACACTCTGAACTGTGCCTGGCACAGAGAGTGCAGTTAGTGCCCAAGTCAGTGCTAGTTCTTTGCGTCACCCTAGCTATATAAGAAAAAATATTTGAAGTACAAAGCTGTCCTGTCATCACTTCCAGCTAGTAGAAAAAAAAATATAGAGTGCTGTAAAACCTCCTCTTGATGTATATGTTTTATTAGCAATACTGAGGCTTCAATGAGTTCACTGCCTATTCTTACTACAGTCACTGCTACGTTCAGTGTTACTTATGTTACTTGTTTAGCTTTACAAGAGCAATATCTCATAAAGTAAATATATTTTGTATCACAAGTAAGTATATCTTACTATTTTAATTTCCAGGAAAGACTTGCTGAAGAAATTGAGAAACTGAGATCTGAACTGGATCAAATGAAATTGAGGGCTGGTTCGTTAATCGAACCCACCTTGTCAAGGTAATATTTAATGATAAAAGTTTCCTCACTTTGAGTTGAAATGGAACATAAATATAGGTGATAAGCCTTTACAACAGGGATGTGTTCAGACCACACATAAAAATAGTCAAGTATTTAAAAATGTAAAATGTGTGCAATGATTATTACTGTTGCTTCTCACTTTTTTCATAGGTAAACAGGGCCTTATAGCAGTGAGTATACACTGAAATATTACTGAGATTAAAGAAAGTCTTTTGTATTATGGAATGTTTTCAAAACTATGTCCAAATACTCCTTTTTTTTTCCTCAGGAGACCGTAACAATAAAGTTGAAACTGTTTTCTTTAGTGCTGAAACTGATCAGCATGTTTACGATCACATTATTTTTTATTAGCAAGAAATTATTAATATCTGCTTAGTGTGTAGTATAAGACCACAGATCTTCAGCTAAAGATGAAGGCCTGACAGAGAGAACTGACAATATTGTAACAAGACGTTAAACATTTTGCCTCTTTTTGGCAGAAAAGCAATATGGGAACAAGAGTGAGACAGATACCATAGAAATAGCATCTAACAGCTCAAATGAATTTATAATTCTAGGGAGTCTTCCTTGCCTAAAAGTATCCCTCAAAATAAAATAGTTAACTTTATTGATAATTGTGTGCCATGTCCTATTTTCATAAAAAGCAACATGTTAGCTTTTAAAACCTGCCCAAAGCTCATAGACCAAGACTAAATTCAGAGCACTATAATCCGCTAAAGTGATTCTGATAGGATAATTTTTTTGCTTGCATCAGGTATTGTCTGCCCATTGTTTCCTCAGACATCTTGCTCAGTACCTGGACATGATTTCTCCCTCGACCTTTTTTTATCTCTTGGAATAATATTTTTTCTATAAACAGAGAAGTGTAAATTGCTGAAATTCAGCATGTGATGCTTGTAACTGGTTTTGTTCGTGTGGGAGTGTAAGTGTGACTCCAGGCACACACAACACTTTTTTGAGAGTGCTTATGAGGACACAGACTGTTCAACTGCTGCAACAGATGAGTTTTTGGACAGCAGCCTTTCTTGCTGGGTAGATGAGTGTCATTAGCTTGTGCTCTGTAAATAGGAGTCTGATTAACGCATGTCAAAAGGCTGTTTGAACTTGATAAGCTGTCTAAATGTCTTGGGAATTCAGCAGGTTCCCCTAAAATATTATGCTCCCCTTCTATTACCTGACTTTGTGAAGCTACCAGCCCTCTCAGGAATAGGGAGCTATCAGCATCTAACCCCTTATTCAGTTTTGTGTTTGCAGGAGTTTGTTCTTTCAGCAGAAGACTAATGAAGCTGGTCAGCAGATAAATATCTGCTGCCAGAGACTGGAACCTGGGCTGGTTTTTTTTTTCCTGTCAACTTGCTGCACAAGTGCCAAGTGTTATCAATTATCAGAGCAAAGTTCTACTACAGCAAATACTGTACACAGAAAATAAAAACCCATCACTGCCTTAAAGGGTTTACTATCTAAGATATGAGAGAAATTCCAACTGAATGTACAAAAACCCCAAAAGATTTTTGTCTGGTGCTGTAGATGCACAACTGTCATCAGGTTTTCTTGTTAGTATAATGACAAAAATGAGTTTTAGAAAAATTTTTAATAGGTAAAATCGTAATTTTTCTGATATTATGGAAGTTCCTATCAGGCATGACAGGAAGCATAAGAGAAGATAAACTGGTGGTTGTTCAGAAAAGGACATTTACGACAACAGCATGAGCTCTGGTGTATGCTTTACCCAAACTGAAGTTCTAAAACATTATTCAGCATCTGTGACATTTTAATGTATCTGATATGATTACTATGGCACAAATTCAAATTTCAGGAATTTGGTACCTCTTTTTTAAATTCATTTTCTTATGGTATTTATTTTTTTATAACAAAAACTGTATTAGTTCTGGAAATCCTTCCATTATTAGTTTAGATTTGTCACTGTACTTATAATACCCAACAGTAATTACATTTTTCCATACCACTCTGTCAAAGTAGCTTGTGGTAGACTTTCATGTTTTTTTGTGATCTTTTTGCATTTCCCATTTATCAATAAACAGACACCATAGTTGTAATATTTTATCTTTCACTTTAATAAAATGTTGTTTGAAATCTGAGATCAATGCTTCAGTCCTCCAAGTATGAGTATGTTTTAATTCAAAATAAGTTCTTCTGAAGGAAAAGTGAGTCTCTGTGTTTAGAAAACAGAGCTCTGTGTTAGACCCCAGGAAAACAGTCACACGGCCTGCAGTTTTCGGCATAGGTAGATAAGGTTATTTCTTTCATTTTGGAAAGCAGACATTCTCTTAGCTTTTTTATGTCTAGGACTAAAGCCATTATTTTCTTGAACAGAACTCTTTTCAAAGTAAGAGAAGTGTTTAAGGACAAAACTTATTCTTATTTTGTGTCCCAAAACTATTAACTTTGCTGTGAACCCTGTAAGTTGGCTGTAGGTGATTGTAAGCATTTTTCCCAAGTTTAAAAAAAATATAAGTACAACGTTAAACTCTCATTTCATGCACTTGTAGATAGTGAAATATCAAGCATATTTTAGGAGTTCCTATAAACAAATACATACCTAGCTCTCTTATTAGTATAGTATATGTTATGTTTCATATTTCTACTATAACCATGCTATTCATGTGTTGTTATTTGGAGATTGCTTATGTGTTTAAGAATGAGAAATGGTTCAAGTCTCCACTGTTGTGGCTGAATGCTCAAGTGGTGCATGGAGCCTTTGCTCTTCTGACTCAGATGCACAGCCTGTGGGCAGGATGCTTCAGTTACACCATGCAGGGAACTTTTACTGCTGCTGCTTGACCAAGGACAGAAAGGCCAGGGACCATTGTCTGCTGCCAAGAAAAGATATGCTGAAGTCATCTTGTATATGCCTCACCCCAATGTCTCAAGACTTATCAGGACTACAGGAAAAATTGGGGGTTAAAACTCTCGAAAGCATCATCAAATAAAGATGAATCATTCATAACCGATGTTATATATTGCAGGGCAGTTTGCTAATATTTTCATAATGCAGAACACACACTTAGAGTAGGAAAGTGTTATAGATAACCTCATCCATTAATATGTAATGTGCTTGGAGTAACCTCAGGAATATTTATTCACAGAATCACAGAATGTTAGA